AAATAAAGTTCATCATTGTGCAGAGAGATGGGTGGGATTGCTTTGTGAGAGGTTTTGAAACTGGACATAAAGCCATATCATGATATGGTGAATTGCTACGTTCATTATTTAACAAAAAAAAAAATCGGAATGTTTTCATGTTTTCAATTTTTTTTGTGTGTGTGAAATTGCAATTAATTGATTTTTTTTGTTGTTTTTGTTCCTTATATCTTGTTAGTTGTTAACATCGACCAAAATAAAAACTCTAAATAATTGAATTCCATTGATCCTAACAATATTAATTAACTTAAAAATTATGTCTAGCATGACATAGGCAAGTTTTTAATGAATTTTGGAATTTTTATTTTCATAAATTATGTTAATTATATTTGGTGTGTGTGTTTTTAAGCCCAACAGACGTTTACATAAAAAATATGATTACACAGAAGAAGAAGAAAAAATTAATTATCAGTCTAAATAATGAAGTCGACTTCATTAATCTTTGTTGAAGGTTTTTTTTTTTTTCTATGCGGCTATGAAATTTAATATCAACAAATTAGGTTTATATCAAAATTGTGACAGTTTTAAAGAGCATTTTGGTTTTGAGGTTGGGTTAGGTACTCGTGGGAATGGTATGTGTTATTTGGTGATTTATGATGGCTTGGGTGGGAAATTTATTGGATTGGATCTGTGGTGAATGACGAAGTTTTGGAAATAAATCATGGACAATATCAATATTCAAATTCACTTCGATTCAAATTTCTTCAATTTCCAAAGATTTGTAGGGAAGGTACCAGAAGTAGTGAGATGATGTATACCATCTTCATGGCAGTTCTTGTGTTAGTGGAAGTATTGGGACGTGCTGAGTTTAATAGGAATCGGATGCTCATTTCGTGGTTATTCAAAATTTTGTGGGGGGATAAGGTACCAGAAGGGCTGAACCGATATATTCCAACTTCGCATCAGATATTGTGTTTAAAAAAATATTAGGCATTATGTAATGTGGAGACAATTGGACTCTTATTTCACATTTTATAAGAGGTAAAATTATTCCGAAAATTGACCATTTGTGGGACGACGCTTCAAGGAGTGGTCCTATATTCCCATCTTCACACAAGATCAGTAAAAATATTGAATTGTGTGAAATTTTATGAGAATTGAATGCTCAATTCGCGTTTTATGATCGTTTTGGTTATTCCAAATTTTGACCCTATGTGGGATGTATCAGAAGGAGTGGGTAATATCGCAATATTCCATTCGGCAAATGTTGAAAAATGAGCTCGAGGTAAAGCCATTGAAATTACAAAAAGTGCAAGAACTAATAACGGAACAGAAAGAAAATAGACTCAAAAGAGTTAAAGAGTTGGCTCGCTTGGCCGAAAGTGGTGAACTGCTGAATTTGGTTTTCTCCGATGAGAAAACATTAATTGTCCTGCAGTTTGTAAAGAACAAATTAATAGTGTTTACTTGCCAAAGACTTCAGCTACAAATGTGCACCTTCGGTTGGCCACCAGAACTCAAACACCGGCCTCGCTTCATTTCCAACGCACAATGGTCAGCAAACCCTCCGGATACCAATCTGTTGGACTATTGTGTGTCGAGTATTCTGAAAAGCAAGGTTGGCACCAAAAAATACCAAAGAGTCGATCACCTCAAGCAAGCGCTTTGCCGGGAATGGGCCAAAATACCACAGAGCAATATTCGGCGAGCGTGTGACAGTTTAATTGGCCGTTTGAAGGCCATAATTCGTGTCAATTCGTACAAATCTTAACTTATTCTAAAATTTGATATTTAGTTAATATTAAAAAATGTAAAAATTATGGCGTTTGACTTTGTTGCAGTTTTTTTATCTCCCCTGGGCTAAATCAGCCAGACAGACGGACGGAGAGACCTAGGGCCTACAAACGTTATTTCCATGAGATACTTCTTAGCCGTGTCCAATGATATATATCCTCTGTAGCCCAATGTCTGAGGGTATAAAAATTGGGATATAATCCTGTATTATCTTATGTGAGAAAACCTCTTCCTGCGCTAGATATACAGACAGCAAATGAACATTGTGTCCCATATTAATGCCATAGGCTTAGTATATTCCCTCTACTTAAACTAACTCTCTAAACAACATTCATCCAATCAAGATAAACCCGTCTATGACACTTCTCAGAATATTAATCATAATTACTAAAATATTAATCTCTAAACAAACGAAACAAAAATATGTATATTAATCTACCCCAATTGATAGGCAGTTAAAACTGTCACATTGTGTTGAGATTTACCATTAATAACAAAAAATCCAAATATGTCAGAATAATTTATACAAAAAATCAAACTGAAAACCAAATAAACCAAACTTGTTTCGGTTTTTGTTTTTCACTGAAACTTAATATTGGAACAGTTGACAGCATTTATTTTAATATGAATTATTATTTCGTTTTTTTTTCTCTTCTGTTTGAAAATTATATATTTTTAACACTACCAGAAACCATTAACCCCATAATAATGTGAAGAAATTCATAAATAATACACTTGATATGGGGCGAGTCTTACATTTCATGCCATTGTCTGCAGAGACCCCCTTCCCCCTTGTTTTGGGACACAAACATGGTAGTCTGTTAAGGTCTTAGTTGCTACTTTCGCCCCTCTAGATATGGATTATTGAAAATGAATGTTTTCCTAAGCCTACCTACCAACCAACTATCTGTTAATCCCAGTGCATAGTCTTATGCCATGGGGCTTTAAAAAGCCTACGCATAAACTTTTTCTTTTGAGGGGAGAGGGAGATAGATAGATATAAATAATATCAAGCGATGGAAACAACTTTACACTGTCAGATCTTTGGACAGCATAATGAGTGATTACTTTAGGGCAGATATGTTGTTGGCAAGATAAATGGGTAGATAGACAAGCTGTGCATGTAGTGATGCATTCCATAGTGGCAGTATTGATGTGGTGGGTAACAAGTGTTCTACAGAGTCTATGATCTCTGTAGAAAAATCGCAAGAACTTGATGAAAAACGAATCTACCAGAAATTTTTTATGATTATTATTATTTTTATTATTATTATTATTTTTATTATTATTATAATTATTATTATTATTATTATGATTATTATTATTATTATTATTATTATTATTATTATTATTATTATTATTATTATTATTATTATTTTATTATTATTACTATTATTATTATTATTATTATTATTATTATTATTATTATTATTATTATTATTATTATTATTATTATTGTTATTATTATTATTATTATTATTATTATTATTATTATTATTATTATTATTATTATTATTATTATTATTATTATTATTATTATTATTATTATTATTATTATTATTATTATTACCTCGAAACATCTTGAAATCACTCTAGCTTCCGAACAAAATGAAGTAGGTTAATAAAATTTTACTCAAATGTATATTATGTCTGCAAAACTTTTGCTATTAAAAATGGGTCATGTAGGTCCACGTTTTGATATAGCCCCAACATAATGGTACCTCCCTATTTTCGGTATTTTTGTGATTTAAGCTACATTATTCAGCATTAATGTTTCAAATTTGATGTTTAAAGTTCGTAATGGCCTATGACAGAAAATTGTCTGTGCAGGTCCAGGTCTTTGTATAGCCCCCATATAACGATACCTCCCGATATTCGGGATTTTGATGATTCAAGCGATATTATGTCCGCATGTCCACCTTTTTGCATAGGCCCCATATAATGGTATGGCTATATTCGGTATTTTAATGGTTTTAGCTAAATCATTCACCCAATTTCGTTTTCAAATTTCGCATTTGAATATTGTAAAGGCTTATGACAAAAGTTGCCTATGCAGGTCCACGTCATCGTATACATACGGCTACATTCTGTATTTTAAAGATTTTGAACGGAACTTCAAACAGTTTAATTTATTTATTAATTTTTTTTATTTTTGGAAATTGCCAAATTCATTCAAAATGGTAGAGGGTATTAAAAGATCAGCCCGGCCGAATCTACAGATTTTGTGCTTGTTATTATTATTAGTATATATTAATAAATATTTTTTTTATTTATTTATTTTTTTTTAGGTTTTGGGGTTTTAATTGAGACTAATTTACGAAACACACATATTCACCGTTTGAAGAATTTGGAGAATTTTAAGCCATTTAAGACCCTACCCTCACACTTTCAATTCAAAGAAACAAAAACTTGTGTTCCACATCCGCTGCTAATCCTCTTAGTTATCCCCCTACCCCCTTTCATATTTAATCGACGGCATTTCTTAACGATATTCCCCGTCATTCGTGCGTCTACCAATCTATGTGGGATTATAATGACCCTTCAGATTACTATTTCGATACGATGTCATCGACTAACAATGTTATAATTAATAGTAATTAGTTATACAAAATCCCTTTCTTGTTAAGCTATAGCACATATATATACTTGAAAATAGCTTTCATTATCGAATAATTACCAAAAAAAAACGAAAAACAACCAATCAAAGTTCATCAACGCTAATCAAATATAATTATTTTTAATTTACAAAAACATAGAAATCGAAAATATAATCTAACGAGATCATATTAATGAGATTGAACTGAAAGAAAGAAAAAAACAGAGCACCGTAGGAGGCATAAGGTGTTCAACGCAGTAAATAGGTGATTATTTTTTGGGAATTAAAAGCAACAGAATTTGGAGGTATTTATTTGCCTCAAGGCGATAACAAAAATTAGAAATATTTAATAAATCAGCAAAAAAAAAAATTGAAAATTCTAAAAATAAAATAATTTTTTTTTTCAAAAAATTTATTCAAATCAATATTTTTTTCTCTCCATATTCTTAATCTTTAATGGTTTAAATTCACAGAAATTCTTAAAACTAATTAAATTAATGAAACAAGTGTTTTTCGAGCTTGAGGAAAAAAACACTTGTTTCATTAAAATATAAAAAGGTCGAATAAAAAGGAAAAACATTAACTTAAAACTAATTTTTAAATTAATATATCTTTTGTTTTCTCTTTGCAG